TCCTTCTGTCCCTCTCAGACCGAATCGCCCAGAACAGGAAGACTATCGTATGCCCGATGATTGATGTCATCGACCACGACAACTTTGGCTATGAAACACAGGCGGGCGACGCCATGCGAGGGGCGTTTGACTGGGAAATGTATTACAAGCGGATCCCGATCCCCACAGAGCTGCAGAAGGACGACCCCAGTGAACCCTTTGAGTGAGTGACTCTGATACTTGGTTAGGGATTTTTTTTTATACCCATTATCTGATTGTGCCATGACTTAAAGCTTTTCAACTAGGTTTGTCTGAGCTGTGCACCTCTGAATGATTTACACCACACAGTGTTTATTCACTGAAGGTCTTTGTCGGCACTGCTATGCTCATACACGCGTTTGCACCTGAGTGTTGCATAGGATGGATACTAAAGCACTCGACTACTGCCCCATTAAGCTGCAAAACGTGAAAATGAATTCCATTTCCAAAGTGGATAAATGCCAAAATCCCAGTCTTACATTCCAGAGTGTACAGAGAAATGGAAGCTTTCTCAGATTTCAATGAACCAGTGTGGCGGTGAAGTGAAGATGCCAGCTCGCTGTCTTAAACGTTGTCTCTGATTTTTAATGCCAGTACAAGATCTATATCAAAAGCTATGTCATTATAAAAGACTGATTATGTTGCAGCACTGAACTATGACTTTTATGAGTGGGAAAAGAGCGACATTCAGCTATTTTTATATTATTTTGCTACTTCAGTTTGGGCAGAGCTCTTCAAGGAATTACTTAACCTTTACTTTTAGCTGCTATTGTATTAGCTTTTATGCAGCAATAGCTTAAAAAAACAGATCTATGTCGATCTGTGAGTTCTAGAGTTAAAACAATTTAGAGATCGGTGGATATTTAGGTCATTTCACAGTCACCTCGTGTTTTATACAGCATGACAATTCCAAAAAATGCAGTTTGTCAAATGGCCTCAAACTAAGTCAAACTCTATCTAATAAGACGAAACTTTATAAAAATTAAATAGGAAGTGATTCATTTATTTATTTTTCTAACTCAGCCATATAGAGATATTGAGAGACGGGTGCCATCGCTGGGCTGCAGCTCAGCTTATTCCAGCGCTCCAAATAGCACAAACACAGTTGGAAGGTCCACTTCCAACTGTGTTTGTTGGAAGTGGACCTTCCAACTGTGTTTGTGCTATTTGGAGCATTTGTAATGCAGTTGTCTGGCAAATCATGTGGCTCACTGTGTGGTTAATTGTACTAAAAGCCCACTGAAAATGTCTGTGCTTCAGTTTTGGTGAGGGAAATTCTACCCAATTATTTGTACCTGCAGTAATTAGCAGGTATTGGTTTCTGTGTTGGACTCATGTGGTGCGTGGGTGCTCTTTGCACTAATTGACATTGCTAGCTTAGATGATAACTGGCACTCGACTAGGGCTGGGCCATATCATACTGTTCACGGTAATACCGTGAAAATGAAATATCGCGATAGAATATGGGTAAAACGC